CTTCTTTTCCTCTCTTTCTTTTTTTGTTATTTTCCACCTCTGGTTTTTCTCTGAGTGTTCGTCTTTTTGTTGTTGTCGTTTTCTTGGGGAGATTAAGTGTTGGAACTCGAACTCTCTTTTTGTTTGGAGAGAGCTGTGGCGTTTCCCTACTGCCCCGTCGCCATCTTGGTCCCCCCCCTCAGTCTATTTCTTAAAGATCTAATTTTTCCATTAAAAAATCATTTGTTTTTTTTGTTGTTGTTTCTCAGATCCAAGATTGACCTCAGGCCTTTGAGCTCTGCTTGGCTTTCTTGCTGATGGCTGACCCACTACCACTTGAGCCATGCCTCTAACCTAGATTTTTCTGCTATTTAGGTGGAGGTAGCATCTCAGGACATATTGCCCAAGCCTGGCTTTGAACAGTGATCCTTCAGATCTCAGCTTCATGAGTACCCAGGATGACAGGTATAAACCACTATCTCTCAGAATACTTCATTGCTCTGTGTGTGTATGTGTGTGTGTGTGTGTGTGTGTGTGTGTGTGTGTGTGTGTGTACATGCCGCCATTCCTGGGGCTTGAACTCAGGACCTTGGTGCTGTCTCTGAGCTTTTTGCTCAAGGCTAGCAGTCTATCACTTGAGCCACAGCTCTACTTCTGGATATTTTGGTGGTTACTTGGAGAGAAGAGTCTCATGGACCTTCCTGCCTGGGTTGGCTTTGAACCACAACTTCAGATCTCAGCCTCTTGAGTAGCTAGGATTACAGGCATGAGCCACTGTGCCCAGCTTCATTGCTTTTTGAGACAAGAGCTTGCTATGTATACTAGGCTGCCCATAACTCCATGTCCTCCGGCCTAAGCCTCTGATGTCCTAGGAGTCCAGATGTGTGCCACCATGATGAGCACATATTTTTGAAATTAACTTGTAAAAATTGGACATACATTTGGGGTATGTGCTCTGATTTTCCAGATGAGGAAACTGAAGAAACTAAGAAGGGAAACTTCCAAAGGGAAATCATCCCAGAATGGACAATGGACTGTTGACCAGGCCTGCCCTTAACCTACATACAGCACCAAACCATACTTCAGGAATAACTTTTCCTCTCTCTGAGCAGTGCATGGAAGCAGACCTGATGCCCTGAGAATATGAGCAGATGTCTGGCTACTGAGATAGATACACCCCTGGTCCAGTAGGAGAAACCGCACTTCAATCATGTCACTACTCAGTCCTGTCTGAACACTGAGAACAATTCAATTAAAGGAATACCGGTAACTGAAACTTCTAACCCATGACATGGATGCAGACATAGAAATTCCAATGCAGAAACAAGAAATAGAAAAGGCAGTGCAATATGACTCCTCCAAAAGTTAATACTTTCACAGTGATGATAGCCCAGTGATAATGGAGAAGATGAGATCAGAGACAAAGAACTCAGAAAAGATGATGACAAGAATAATCAACAAATGTAAAGAGGACAGAAGTGGCGCTGTGGCTCAAGCAGTAGAGTGCTCACCTTGAGCTGAAGAGCACGGGTACAGAGCCCAAGCCCAGAGTTCAAGTCCCACGACTGACAAAATAAAAACAACAACAAAAACAAACAAACAAATTTAAAGAGGACATACATACACTTGAATGAATCCTAAGAGAAGAAAAAGACTACAAATAAAGCATGGAATGAAATAAAGAAGACAATGCAGGATATAAAAGAGAATGTCAATAATAATATAAAAATCCTGGCGTGGGAAGTGAAATTCTAGAAATGAAAAGCTCAGTATCTCAAATTAACATCAATTTGAAAATCTAAACAATACAGTATATCAAACTGCATACAGATTATCAGAGCTTAATAAGGTAGATGAATTGTACCATTCAGAAAAAAAAAGAAAAAAATGAAGTATGAATAAACATACAAGATCCCTGGTACACCAACAGTTAAAAGACAAAAATTATAAATCGTAGGCAGAAAGAGAAGGGATGAAAGCTAAGGGTATAGAAAAATATATATTTAGCAAATTCATAGCAGAAAATGTCTCAAATCTTGAGAGAAAACCAATTATCCAGGTACAGGAGGCTTTCAAAACACCAAACACGCAAGAACAAAAAAAGAACTCTCCAAAGCAGATTGTATTTAAAACATCAACTATAAAGAAGGAAATAAACTAGAAAGCTCCAAGAGGAAAGTGAGGGCTTACATACATAAAAACAACAGGACATATATCAACACAAACTCTAAACATACGGAGTAGGATCTACTTCAAGGCCTGAAAGGAAATACCTACCAATGCAAACTACTGAACCCAGCAAAGCTATACATCACAACTGAGGATGAACTAAAAATGGTCCACAATAAAGAAAGACGTTTTAACCACTAAGCCAGAACTGGAGAAGATTCTTAAAGGAATCCTACACACAGAAAAGGAAGATAAAATTGACAGAATACAGGAAAAAATAAATACACTTGGGTGCATTGTTAAACAAATGAGGAGTAAGGCAGCATCAAATACAACAAAAATAGCAAAATAACAGGTATTACGACAAACCTTTCGACAAAGCTGAATGCTAACAGTGCATTATCTTTCAGGTTCCCGGTGGTCAACTGA